CTCCCAGGCTAAAGGTAAGAAGGGAGGGGGGGGAATAATACCTGTTTTTTTTTTATTATTTACCCCCCCTACATACACACAATAACATTTATACAGCACTCTCACACCCATCACACACAGCACTCTCTCACACCCAGCACTCTCTCACACCCATCACACACAGCACTCTCTCACACCCATCACACACAGCACTCTCACACACACACAGCACTCTCTCTCACACAGCACTCTCACACCCATCACACACAGCACTCTCACACCCATCACACACAGCACTCTCACACACACACAGCACTCTCTCTCACACAGCACTCTCACACCCATCACACACAGCACTTTAACACACACAGCACTCTCTCACACCCATCACACTCACAGCACTCTCACAGAGCACTCACACACACACAACACTCTCACAGCACTCTCACATCCATCACACACAGCACTCTCACACCCATCACTCTCACACCCATCACTCTCACACCCATCACACACAGCATTCTCTCACAGCACTCTCACACCCATCACTCTCACAGAGCACTCACACACACACAGCACTCTCACACCCATCTCACATGCCCATCTCACACAGCACACTCACATCCATCACTCACACACAGCATTCTCACACCCATCACTCACACACGGCATTCTCCCATCCATCACTCACACACAGCATTCTCACACCCTTCACTCACACACAGCATTCTCACACCCATCACTCACACACGGCATTCTCCCATCCATCACTCACACACAGCATTCTCACACCCTTCACTCACACACGGCACTCTCACACCCTTCACTCACACACGGCACTCTCACACCCATCACTCACACACGGCACTCTCACACCCATCACACACCGCACTCTCACACACACATACTGCACCCCTCACATACACACAGAACCCCCCCCAACACACTGCACCACAAACATACACAATACTTCCAAATATATATATATATATATATGTATACACGCACACACTACACTCTTAAAGGACCACTCTAGCCACCCAGACCACTTCAGCTTAATGAAGTGGTCTTGGTGCTAGGTCCTTCTAGGGTTAACCCATTGTTTTATAAACATAGCAGTTTCAGAGAAACTGCTATGTTTATCAATGGGTTAAGCCTTCCCCCAAAGCCTCTAGCAGCGGTCTCATTGACAGCCGCTAGTGGTGCTTGCGTGCTTTTTACTGTGAAAATCACAGTGAGAGCATGCAAGCGTCCATAGGAAAGCATTATAAATGCTTTCCTATGCGACCGGCTGAATGCGCGTGCAGCTCTTGCCGCGTGTGCGCATTCAGCCGACGGGGCGGATCGGAGGACGAGAGCTCCCCGCCCGGCGCTGGAAAAAGGTAAGTTTTAACCCCTTTCCAGAGCCGGGTGGGAGGGGGTCCCTGAGGGTAGGGGCACCCTCAGGGCACTATAGTGCCAGGAAAACGAGTATGTTTTCCTGGCACTATAGTGGTCCTTTAACATACACACTCTGGATCCCCTATACACACACTAGATTCCTTGTAAGCAAACACATTCTACACCCCTAAACACACACACACTATAGCCTGTATGCACACACTTGCTATATCCCCAATACACACATTCTCTACAGCCCATAGCCACATGTGCATCACATTACACCACAAACACAACACGACTAAAACTGACCTTATTACACAATACCACACCACGACCAGTTCACTCTACACACACGCAATACCACAAGCAGGCTCCAAACACATGCACAATACTCTTTCCTGGCCTTTTGTCTCCTGGTATCCATTTATAGACACCAGAGACAAGTTGCAAGGAAACACAGTGCAAGCATGTTATTAAATTTGCTTGCACTGTGCAAAACAAATACAGGACTTTTTTCTCATGCTAGAGCTCTTCAGCAGAGCTCTGCGCATGGTCTGCCCTGGAAGAGCATTGAACCAACATGCTCACTTTGAGAGGAGGCGTGTCTGTCATTGGTGACAAAACACACCTCCTCTGCCCCGCCCCCTTTTTAGTGGGCCGCTGTGTTAAAAAAATGCCCGGGCCGAATTTTTCTCCCAGTCCGGCCCTGATCACAGGGATGTATAGGACTGTGTGGTTTTACATAACACTGAAGAAAATGCTCTGAAATTAAGTTTAAAACTTAATAATTTTGTGTTGTTTAGAGAACTTCAAAACCAACTGCCTGCTTCCATCCCATCATTCCTTATCCATTCATTTACATTTGTCCCTGTGATGTGGTTAACTAATTAGAGCTCCATGTTACATCCTCAAAACATATACCTCCCAGGACTGGTGGCATATGATAATACCGAAGACAGGATTTGACTTTACACCACGGCCTTGACTCTTCCACTAGGGGCACTGCTACCAGCCATGCAGTGTGTAAGTGTTTATGGTGAACAGGAGAGAAGAGTGACAGCTTTGCCAAGTTACAAAAACAGTAAGGTGGATTGGAGGGACATGATAGGTTAAGCAATGACACACTGGGAAATAGTGAGAGACACCCTAGGCTAGATGGGGGAAAGGCAGGTAAAGTGTGCTAGGGAGAGTAACCTAAGAGGGAAATAGGAAAACATACTCAAGCTTAGTAGGGGGGCATCTAAGAAGTTTTGCATGGGATAGACAATTCCTATGCTGCTCAGCCAACCCTTAAAGCTGGCTGAACTTTATGAAAAATTGCATTTAAAGGGACACTATAGTCACCAAAACAGTTTTAGCTGTTAGCTAACAGTTTTGGTGTACAGATCATGCACCTGCAGTCTTACTGCTCAATTTAAGAGTTAAATCACTTTGCTTATTCAGCCCTGGTCAGACCTCCCTGCATGTGACTTACGCAGCCTTCCTAAACACTTGACTAAAGAGGCATCTGATGTTTACACTTCCTTTATTGGAAATTCTATTAAATTTAGGATTTCTTATCTCCTGCTCTGTTAATAGCTTACTAGACCCTGCAGGAGCCTCCTGTATGAAATACAATTCAATTTAGAGAACAGGTGATAAAAACATTTAAAGTATGTTACATCTGATTAAAAGTGATTTTAAACAATTTGTTTCATGCAGGCTCAGGCTGTGTCAGTCACATACATGAGAGGTGTGGCTAGAGCTGCATAAACAGAAACAGAAGTGATTTAACTCCTAAATTTCAGAGAATTGAGCTGTGACACTTTCGAGGCATGATCTATACACCAAAACTGCTTCATTAAGCTAAAGTTGTTTTGGTGACTACAGTGTCCCTTTAACTAGCATCTGCAGAACCTCATCCGTATCTCACAACATTGAAATGGTGTGCCAGCCTAGAGTGAATGCATGCAAGACTGACTGACAACCAGTCTAGCTGACTCTACTCAAGGGTAGACCATGCAGAGAGCCCTGCTGAAGCACTCAGTCTCTGCATGGTCATAGTGGCCTCAGCACAGTGCCATCACCAATGATGCATTCCTTCTGTGTATGCTGCGGATAGATCCTACGTGTCCTCGAATGCGAGACATCAGGGAACAAATAATTGTGAACGTGGGATAGAACCTTGAAGTCAGTAAGGTTGCAACCGAAATGGCGACAGTTTGGGCATGCCAATTATAGTTACAAAAATATATTTTAAAAAAGGGAGAGGGAAAAGGGCCTGACTGCCATGCCTGCTGGATGTATCCTGACAGAGCTCCGCATTTATGCTTAATTAATCCTGGATATTGGGGTTGTTTGTGACCCACCAACCTTGAAAACAAGAAAACAAGTGTCTAAGCGTTTCTAGCCCTGGAGAGGCTTGCCTAGTGTGGACACGTCCCCAAAGAAAAGTCTGTTTGATCTGCGGCCTGGTGCGCCCTGAGGGAGGGAGAAGCGGCTAATCTCCCGCCCGAAGCAATCCAAGCTGTACCACTTGTTGGATAGTGCCCTGTTCCTCCACCCCTGGTCCAAAGAGCCGGTCTACTCTCTGGAGGCTCTCCTTGATACACTGAGCACTGGCACTGCCACTGGAAATCGAGCAAGATACAGCACTACAAGCAAAATGGCGGTTGCTGTGCGTCCATTCGATCCTTGCTTTGAGGATTTGGATATGGCACTTCGCTTAGACAAGCTGTTCAGCTCCTTCTGTTTTCCTCAGACAGTTACAGTCTAACGCCACACACACAGTATACCACCCGATTCCTCACATCCCTAGGTTTCGTGGTGAATTTCCAAAAGTCGGAATTATCCCCAGCCCAGACGATACAATTTCTGGGCTTCGAGATAGATTCCAAGACCAGCACACTACGGCTCCCGACCTCAAAGATCACAGCTATCAAGAAGGAACTACGCAGAGCCATTCGCTGCCACACCATTCCACTCCGCAACCTGGCTCGGATCGTGGGCTTGCTATCCGCATCTATCCAGGCGATATTCCCGGGCCCACTCCACTACAGAGCGAGGCAACGCTTGAAGGCTTCTTTTCTCCGCCAGAACCCTTCGTACGAACAAACTATTCCATCACTGTGAATATTATACCTCCTACTGCATTTTTGATTGGTTAATGTTTTCACTTTTCTTTACTGCTGTGTGGAGTTAGTAAAGAGAGTTTATGCAAAATATGAAGCCTCCTGTCATGTTGTAAAATTCACAACCAGACTATAGCAATGCACTTAAGTGCTAAATTTTCATGTAGGACACCAAAGCAAACACAAATGTTTCAGGTATACAAACACTTTCTCACTGTGTAATGCCATTAAAAATACATATATAAAAGAATAATCTTCACACCACATCCACGAAACAGGATCAAAGAGAGGCTTCGAGCGCCTAAGCCTGCCAAAATCATCGGTCCATCTCCACTTGAATTGCACCGTTTGTGGTGCGAGATGACATAATTGCATCAAAAGTGATTGCCACATTCCCAACAGTAATGGTAGGCGGCAATTACGAAGAGTAAACAGAGAAGTCTCATACTAGTAGAGAATAGTGATGTCCCGAACAGTTCGCCGATTGCGAACATATGCGGTAAACTTTGACCCTGTACCTCACAGTAAGCAGACACACTCCAGCCAATCAGCAGCAGACCCTCCCTCCCAGACCCTCCCACCTCCTGGACAGCATCCATTTTACATTCATTGTGAAGCTGCATTCTTAGTGAGCTGTCCAGGAGGTGGGAGGGTCTGGGAGGGAGGGTCTGCTGCTGATTGGCTGGAATGTGTCTGCTGACTGTGAGGTACAGGGTCAAAGATTACCGCATATATTCGCCATCTGTGGCGAACCGTTCGGCGAACCGTTCGGCGAACCGTTCGGGACATCACTAGTAGAGAATACAATAGCAGTGCCAATCAGGTCCTAAAAAGTATCATACAGGCATTGAAAAATAAAAGAGAAAATGTAAAGCAAAACTTGGCCCTACTAGATGTATACTAAATGGAACTCCGCCTGTACACCTATATAGCACAATATAGCAGAACATATACACATAATGCAGATAAATAAATACATACAGTATATACTCGAGTATAAGTCTAGTTTTTCAGCACATTTTTTGTGCTTAAAAACCCCCACTCGACTTATACTCGAGTCACTGTCTGTATTATGGCAACTTAGAGAGCCGCGGCCGTCAGAGCCGTGGTAACAATCCGCGCGGCAACCAGACCGCGAGACTTACCGGAACGGAGGAGCTGACCGGAACGGAGGAGAAGGGAGCTGACAGGAGCTGCAGGAAAGGTAAGTAAATGCTTCCTGCCGGCCCCCCACTTCACAGCCCATGCCACTGGACCACCAGGGATTAAGATAGCCCCCCTCCCTGACCGGTTAACAAGCAGGGAGGGGGGACAAAAACAAATTAAAATAATAAAAAAAATAATATTAAAATTAAAAGAATTAAAATAATAAAATTCCCTCCCCCCACCCAGTTCACACACACTACACAAACACACACTCTTCATTATATACACACTCTGCATTATATACACAGAGAGTGTGTATATAATGCAGTGTGTGTTTGTATGAGTGTGTGTGTGTATATAATGCAGAATGTGTGTTTGTATGAGTGTGTGTGTATATATAATGCAGAGTGTGTGTTTGTATAAGTGTGTGTGTTTAATGCAGAGTGTGTGTTTGTATGAGTGTGTGTGTATATAATTATAAAAATCACAGAATTTCATAGCCCCAAGTTTTACCCTCGACTTATCCACGAGGCATAGCATATTTCACAATTGTTGGTCACAAAACTGCACTCGACTTATACATGAGATCGACTTATACACGAGTATATACGGTAGATAAATCAAGGTTTAAATAATAAGAAAATCAAACCAATGCATTTAGAAACACTCAGGCTACCTGAACAGAGGCAGCCTCCAAGGGGCATTAGAGTATAGTAACGCTTAAATGGACTATACTGCCATCTGCTGGGTCAAAAAAAAAAAATCCCAATTACGCCAACCTTTAACCCCTTAAAGGACCACTATAGTGCCAGGAAAACATACTCGTTTTCCTGGCACTATAGTGCCCTGAGGGTGACCCCACCCTCAGGGACCCCCTCCCGCCCGGCTCTGGAAAGGGGAAAAGGGGTAAAACTTACCTTTTTCCAGCGCTGGGCGGAGAGCTCTCCTCCTCCCATCCTCCTCTTCTCCTCCCCGTCAGCTGTATGCGCACGCGCGGCAAGAGCTGCGCGCGCATTCAGCCGGTCACATAGGAAAGCATTCATAATGCTTTCCTATGGACGCTTGCGTGCTCTCACTGTGAAAATCACAGTGAGAAGCACGCAAGCGTCTCTAGTGGCTGTCAATGAGACAGCCACTAGAGGAATAGGGGGAAGGCTTAACCCATTCATAAACATAGCAGTTTCTCAGAAACTGCTATGTTTATGAAAAAATGGGTTAACCCTAGCTGGACCTGGCACCCAGACCACTATAAATAGATTATGTGTGACATGTCATGATTTCCTTTTATTCCAGAAGTTTGGTCCTTAAGGGGTTAAAAGGAGTTGAATACTAAAAAAAAATACAAATTAAAAAGAATATCATGCCTGCAGATACATTAACAAACCCCTAGACCAGAAAGCAGTAGTCATAAATGGGTGTGGGGGGATCACAAACGAAACAATGTCAGAGGGAACAACAGCACTTCCTTACCTGACAACGAGTGAACAGTTGGAACGCCAAAGTAACAAGAATATCAGACTATAAAAAATTCACCACAAATTTATAAAAACCAATGCCACTAAATTTTTTCATGTAATCCATGTGGAGGGACAGTACCTATCCATTAAAAAGTGGTGACAATACTTTAGTATCTAACTATCGCCCGATATAATTGCTCCCGATATTGTCAAAAATCTTGGAAAAATGCGTCCACATGCAACTTATGTTAATATTGTCAACAATCAAATTATCTGAGTCCTGATCAATCAGGCTTTTGTCCAAATCACTTAAAGGATCACTATAGTGTCAGGAAAACAAAGCGGTTTTCCTGACACCATAGTGCCCTGAGGATTCCCCCACCCTCAGGGTCCCCCTCCCCTTCAGCAGCTTACCTTATTCCAGTGCCGGGCTCCCTCGGCGCTGGTGACCTCTCCTCCCTGTCCGACATGAGCTCCCCCACCCGATGTCACTGGATCCGAATGCGCATGCACGGCGACCGCATTCAAAGTGTCCATTTGGAAAGCATTTCTCAATGCTTTCCTATGGACGCTCTGTGCGATGGAGGCGAAATTCACCTTCAGTGTCGCAGATGCGCCTCTAGCGGCTGTCCGGAAGACAGACGCTAGAGGCTGAATTAACCCCAAATGTAAAAATAGCAGTTTCTCTGAAATTGTTATGTTTGCATGTGAAAGGTTAAAGCTTGAGGGACCAGGCACCCAGACCACTTCATTGAGCTGAAGTGGTCTGGGTGACTATAGTGTCCCTTTAACTTCGACTTCCCTCTTAAAGTTTGCAATGACATCTCAATTGACATGGAACAAGGAGACTTAACTGGAGCTATTTTCCTTGATTTTGCCAAGGCCTTTGACACAGTGGACCATACCACTTCACAGAGGTAGGAAAGTGGATAGCGGTTAACAAACTCTTCCTAAACACTGACAAAACTGTTACAATGAGCTTTGGAACGGTACCTAAATTACGTAAATTACAAAATCAACAACTGTGTATCAGAACAAATTCAAATACCACACTGACAGCAGTCTGCCTTTTTAAATATCTAGGTATGTTGCGAGACCCCAATCTATCCTTTGGCCTTCATATTGAAAAAATCTCTGCAAAACTTTACCCCAAACTAGGTGCCCTGTACAGAAACAAATCCTGCCTAAGCCCTACAGTAAGGAAACAGATGCTAATGCCGGTCATTGATTATGGGGATGTAGTGTATGTACCCGCACCGCAAACCCACCTTAATAAACTTAATACATTATATAATTTGTTCTGCCACTTTGTACTAGAATGTAATTACTTTGCAGTACCTGGGAGGCATTTTGGCACCGGAAGGATCTGGCAGCACTACCCCAAAAAACCTGTAAAAAATGTTAAAGGTTTTCTTTAATGAATCCACACTCCTTAATTAAACCATACCCCTTAATTAATCCATACCCCTTAATTAATCCACACTAATTCATCCACACACCCTTAATTAATCCACCCCCTTAATTGATACACACACCTTTAATTAATCCACACTAATTAATCCACCCCTTAATTAATCCACTCCCCCATAATTAATCCACCCCCCATAATTAATCCACACTAATTAATCCACCCACCATAATTAATCCATCCCCCCTTAATTAATACACCCCACTTAATTAATCCACCCCATAATTGAAATCCCTCCCATAATTAGAATTCACCTATATAATTAATATACACCACCCCATAATTAATACTCCCCATAATTAATTCACCCCTATAGTGTATACACCACCCCATAATTAATATACTCCCCATATTACACCCCCATAATTAATATACACCCCTCTCAGGGCCGGACTGGGGATACAAAGCAGCCCTGGAAAAAATTTATTGCCCATAGGGGTACTTTCATACATATATTTATGCGTGTAATATGTAAGGCTATGTCTTGCCAGGACAGATGATTGAGTAATATATATATATATATATATATATATATATATATATATATATATATTGCTTTTTCTAATATAAAATATTGGTACTTTCAGGGTAAAACGTTTAATTATACAGTAAGCATACGCACATGCAGACACGGGCTACAGGCTTTTCAACGTAAACACTGACTTTTCAGAGAAAAAGCAGTGTTTACATTGCTTCAAAGTGACATTGCTAGTGACAGTCACTCAGACGGTCACTAGAAGTGCTTCCTGTGTTAGTGCCCTCCCGCGCTGCTGAATGAGACTGGCGCCGGAATATGACGTCATATTCCGGCGCCGGTCTCATTCAGCTGCGTGCTGGGGAGCAGAGCCAGCGCAGCTCGCGCAGCTCCCTCAGCGGCCGCCAGGACAAGTCCGCCAGCGGCTGCCAAAAGACCTCCCCAGCGGCCAGGGGAGGGCTGGCAGCCTTAGGCCTGGGGGGCAAAACCAGTCAAGTAGACTGGTGCACCTGCCCAGGATCAGAGCCGGTGCAAGGATTTTTGCCGCCCTACACAAAATAAAAATTTGCTGCCCCCACATGTCACATCACAATGCCCCACCCATATGATCTGCCATATGAACTAACGCCAGTGCTGCACACAGTGTGTGTTTCCATTAAAAAGCCTGCAGGGACCAGCTATAGACACCAGAACCACTTCATTAAGCTATAGTGTCCCTTTAATGTGAGGTACATTATAGATTAGTGTCACTAATAATATACTAGATTGCCTACTTACAAGCAGATGGGGATGATGATGGGCTGCAGTTTGGCTCCACTGGTCTGGTGTAGAACAGGATCTCTGGAGGCTGTTTGCAACTGTGGTCACAAAATTCAATGTTCTGGGAGAATTGGAAGCAGCTCAATTTTTGGGGGGCCCCTTACACAGCTCAAGGTCTGGGCCCCAGGGCCTGACGGTGAGTATGCCCATAAGGCCCACTCATAAGTTCCACCCACCCATGGGTTCGCTCACAGGGAGTGGAGTGTGTAGGGGATGTGTTATGTGTTATTGTAGAGGATCTAATATGTGTGCTTATGGTATGTAGTGTTTAGGGTTACCAGTTTGTGCAGGTGATGCAGTGTGTTTGTGTGTAGTGGAAGCAGTGTGTATTTGTGTATAAGGGGTGTATTATGTGTTTCTGGTTGTGTGTAAGGGATGCTTTGTGTGTGTCTGTATGTGTGTGCATGAGATGCATTGTGTTTCTGTGTGTATGTAAGAAAAGAAGTGTGTGTGTTTGCATGCGTGTGTATGGGTTTGCATTGTCTGTTTCTGTGTATGTGTGCAAAGGATGCATTGTCTTTGTGTGTAAGGGTTGCATTGTGTGTGTGTGTGTGTGTAATGGATGCATTGTGTGTTTCTCTGTGTGTAAGGGAAGCATGTTGTGTTTCTGTGTATGTATAGGGATGCATTGTGTGTGT